AGCCAATCCTCCAAGAGCTTACAGTAGCCCCAGTAAGAAGAGCTCTGTAAGCTCTTGGAGGATTGGCTACACTAGGGGTGTGTGGCCTAATATGCAAAGGAGCTCCTGCTACCAGTAGAGCCCTGCGCGGCCCCCCAAGCACCAAGAATACAGAGCATCCCTTGCAGTTCCTGCCTCTCGGGTTGCAAAGGCTCCGTGAGCTTGTCCAAGATAAAGGGTGGGAGGAGAGGCAGGAAAGCAGTGGTGGAACCCCCGGCCTTTGGGAGGGAACCCCTTTGGCTAGTTCTGGAGGCTGGTGAGGAACGGGGGAGGGGTTGTGGCTTCCTGGAAGAGCCTCTGCTTGGCATGGAAACGGTCCCAGGTTCGATCCCTGGCCTCTCCAGGCAAGAGGTGATACAGGGCTATTTTGGGGCAGGAACGCAGAGGAACGGAGTTCTGGCTGGCTTCAGAGTTGGCCGCACACACTACAGCCAAAACCTGTGTGTGTGTGGCTACAGAGGGAAGGCCTGGAGAGCGACCCCCCCCAGCAACTCTGAGGCGGGCCGGCCGGGGGGGCCCTGGAAGGATCGGGGAGGCATTTAAATGCCTCCTCCTCGTGCCTTCCCCGGCCTGTCCAACAGTGGGCTTGCCTGGGCAAGCCAAGGGAAGGCATGGGGATGGGACCTAATGTGCTAATGAGCTGTGGTGTCATGGGGTGTGGCCTAATATGCTAACGAGTTTCTCCTGTTGGGTGTGACCTATTATGCTAAAAAACTGCTGGGCTCTTTCTACAAAATAAGCCCTGTAAAAGACCCTTTTCTGTCCGAGACCCTGGAGCGCCACTGCCAGTCTGAGTGGACAGTATTGACCAATGGTCTGATTCAGTAGAAGGCAGCTTCCTGCCTTCATACTGGGAAGGAGCCGAGGCTTAGTGGCCGAGCCTCTGCTTGGCTTCCAGAAGGCCCCAGGCCCAATCCCCGGCAGCATCTCCAGTCAAAAAAGCCAGGCAGTGGGTGACGTGAAAGATGCTTTCCTGCCTGAGTCCCTGGAGAGCCGCTGCCAGTCTGAGTAGACCAGACTGCCTTTGGTAGACCGATGGTCTGATTCAGTAGAAGGCAGTGTCGTGTGCATTCAGGTGTGTTAAAATGCTCCACCCAAGCATTTCTATAGAGAAAAGCAGTTTTTTGTAGGAAAAGATTTCAGGGAGAATCTATCCCCCCCAATTACCCTCTTTCCAGAGGGAGGGTGTCCTTTTGGCCAGACTTGCCCTTTTGCAGAAGGACAAGTTCTTTGCTGGGTTTGAGTGCTTCACAAGGGTTGCTCTCTAGTTATGGGGGGAGGAAATAATTACAGCCCTTTCCATGACCGGTTGGACTGTTAGAGGGCTTGCAGATGCCTGCAGCCTTGAGGACGCAATGGAGAGGTGGACCCTCGCTGCAACTGATACAAAGGAGGCTAGTCCCTTTGGCCTCCAGACCCATATTGGCAGGGGCCTGGTGCCTGTACAGCCCCTCCGCACTATCTGGCCTCTCGCTTGGAAGCCTTTGGTGATACAAACCACTTGCACAGAACTTGGCGGGTGTCTTTCACCCTATAAGCCATATCTTCCCAAGGCTGGGTGTGCTCTAGTGTTTGGCTTCAACTGGGAAGAGTGAGGCCAAGAAGCCACTTGGGGCTCGGAGAAGAAAGGAATGGGGCCACATGGCAGGCCAGGGGCAGTGCCAGCCAGGGGCTCTTGGCCCGCCTCCCTTGCCAGGACGTTGTCCGTATGCAAAACTATAAACTGCAAGGGTGGACCATCAAAAGACACACCACTTCCACAAGAAAACAGTAGACATCAGTCTATTGCAATACAATAACAATAAATTGAAAATAAAATAGAATTGGTGGTCACCATTCAAAAACACTGTTTACAAGTTCAGAATACAATTTGATGATAGTGGAAAATATCCAACAAGAGACTCATCTATATCCTTTGAATATAATAGTGTCCAGAAGACCTCAAAGTCCACGAAAAAGGCAGAGGATGTCCCAAAGCACAAATAAACTTCTAACAGCCGAAGGTAGTTAAAAGGTAGTATACAGTGTTATTGCCAGGGGTCGTTTCGTAGAAAAAGAGCTTGGGGGAACTCATTAGCATAACTCATTAGCATATGCCACACCCTCTGACATCACCGGAAGTGTGTCATAAGGCCACACACCCTGACATCACCGGAAGTGTGTCATAAGGCCACACACCCCGCCGCCTATGGTCCCGGCCACCGCCGCCGGCCTTGCAGCTCCACTGCCGAGCCCCATGAGGGGCCCGGCGGTGGACCTGCAAGGCCGGCGGGAGTGCAAGGAAGCCCCGCGAAGGCCCTCCCTGGCCCCAGGCAGGCAGGGGTGGGGAGAGGCAGGGAGGAAGCAACTTACCCTCCCTCTTCTCCTGCCTCCTCCTGGCTGAATGAGGGCCGGAAGCGGGGCAGCCGGAATCAGGGGGCGGGGCTTCGTCATGTGCCCCGCCCCCCGTACCTCACCCGGGGGAACTGCGATCCCCCGCGATCCCCCCCGAAATGACCTCTGGTTATTGCTAAAGTATTTATGCAATAGGAGGTTCTGCAACTTTAAAGCTCAGCAGGATACAACCCGCTGCACTTAATGTAACTCATAAAGCAGGCCTAGCAGGCTGAATACTCTGAGGCATTTTTGGTCCTGTTCTACACAGTAGCAACCTTGAGAGGTGCACTTTCAAGTTTAGGAGACCTGGCCCATAAGTGAGTATATATTGGTGGTTTTGTGGTCCATATATTGTGTCATATTGTGCTAAAAATTCTTTATTCTAAGGAGTTATTCTCTTTTACAGAGAAACTGAACAATATTGTCTTGTAAAGAAATTGGAATGAGACTTTCTATTGTGGATAAGATGTATGAGACTCTGTATATAACAGTGATCATTTGTATTTAATATGATTTTTGTGCAATGTTGGGATTTATTTAGCTATATTGTTAAAAGGTATTATTGTATTCTGAAACACTGTATATACTACCTAGGAAAAGTGTTGGATATCTACTTTGGACTTGATGCATTCTGTAGACTTCTATATTTCCTATGATGCATTTTATGTACAGATTTATGGCTGATAGTGATTACATATGTGTTTCACTGTGCTGAAGTCTCTTTTTGTATATTTACTCTTGCGGGTATTTCAGCACACGGTTGTGTTGCTGTTCCTTGCCGTTTTGTATTGTGTGCTGCATTGTTTTGTTATTTGAGACCATGGCTGGGCAAACTAAACTGTCTCCTCGGGTTGCGGCGCAGATGCTGACGAAGCTGAAGGAGGAGGAAGATGAGCGGAAGGACCAATCGGCAGCGGATCTGGACAACCTGCAGAACACGGACTGGGTACAGAGCTGGCCCGGCGGAGGGTGGGCTGTCCCGTGCCTGTCGCTCAGCCTCGCTGCTCTGCCTCTGCTAAGAGGCTCCGGGCCGGCCGGCTGGAGGGGTCTGCTGTCTTTGTTGCCCCAGCTGAAGAGGCACCTGCGTTCAGCCACCAGCCTGGCTCCCTCTTGCTTAGAAGAAGGGGGAACGCAGGGGGTGTGCATGGGAGGGTGGGGCAGAGGGGGCTGAAGGAGCACTTCCTGCTTCCTCTGTTGCAAGAGTGACCTGTGGCTTTCCTGACTCGGGGAGGCCTGGGGGTGGGGAGGCCAGGGTTCAGGGGGGTGAGCACTGGCCATGCATCCTCAGCAGCAAAGGCCAGAGCTGTCCATGAGAGCAAGAGGGCCAGATCCTGCGGCAAGCCCCGCTGACTCTCTCTGGCTGTTGCTCTTGCAGGCTCGCCTCTGGGTCCAGCTGATGAGGGAGCTTCGGCACGGGGTCAAGCTCAAGAAGGTCCAGGAGAAGCAGTTCAACCCACTGCCCACCGAGTACCAGCTGACCCCCTTTGAGATGCTCATGCAGGACATCCGGGCTCGCAACTACAAGCTCCGCAAAGTCATGGTGAGCAGAGTAGCCCCCTTTCTCGCCCCCCCTCCCTGTGGTCAGCCTTGCTGGTCCGCTGCTCTGGGGTCAGCGGTCAGCTTGGGAGTTCTTCTGATTGGTGGATGTTCCTCATGTGTGTTAGACAGGAATTCTGTCTCTGGCTGTGTTTGTCCAACCCAATTTGAGAAACACACGAAAACAGTCCTGTAGAGAAGAAGCTTAAAATATTTATTAATTAATAAAGGAAGAGTACAGAGATCAAGGTCTGGAACCCCTGAATACCCAACAGACTCTTCGAGTGTTACAAAGGGTGACATAGCATGTTATACTCAATATGATATAAGCAAACAAAAGCATAATTATCGGTTCCATTTCATCACACATTTCTAATTGTGCTAAGATCTGTGGGTTGGGTCTTATCAAGCGAAGTCCTTTCCCCCTAAGCTAAACAATAGATGCTTCTTCTTAGGCCATGAAGCTCTAAACATATCAATATTAGCGGACATAGTTATAGGGTATTATTGTTCTCCATTTAACCAGGCTAACCAACACCAGAAACATGCACAGTTGCAGCCAGCAGCCAAGGTCACAATCCTTGGCAGAATAACATTAGCAATTTTATTCTCCCAGCATGCTTTTAAGCAATAGCCATCAATGAACCAAAGTTAGTATCTGAATATATGTTCATGATTGATTTCTGTTTGTGTGGTTAGAATCATAGATGGCACTTCACATAGATAGTGCGGTGTACCTAATAAGGCCACGTGTTAGTCAGTGGCAGAGTGCAAGAGTGTATAACAGTGTTTCATAAACTGTGCGTACAACAGGTGGATGGCAAGATTCCTCCCAAAGTGAAGAAGAATGCTCATGAGCTTATCCTGGACTTCATTCGGTGCTTCTGGGGAGTCAGTGTTAGTCAGTGGCAGAGTGCAAGAGTTTATAACAGTGTTTCATAAACTGTGCATACAACAGGTGGACGGCAAGATTCCTCCCAAAGTGAAGAAGAACGCTCATGAGCTTATCCTGGACTTCATTCGGTCCCGGCCCCCCTTGAGACAGGTAAGGGGGGGCATTCTGGGCAAAAAGTCTCTCCCCCCCTCCCTTCAGATTAGCTTGGCACAGAATTTAAAGGAGAGAGAGAGATGCCTCAAACCCCGACCCCTGAGCTTGTGGGTGGGGCCACCCAGACTCCCTTCCCTCGCGGGATCCAGCCTCGCCAAGGCCTTGTTCCTGGGGGAGATGGAAGTCTTCCTCCGGCTTCCTCTGCCTGTCCTGAGCGTGGCCTTCCACCCCCCTGCAGGCTTCCGAGCGGAGGCTGCGGGGAGATCCAGCCTCGCCAAGGCCTTGTTCCCGGGGGAGATGGAAGTCTCCCTCCGGCTCCCTCTGCCTGTCCTGAGTGTGGCCTTCCACCCCCCCTGCAGGCTTCCGAGCGGAGGCTGCGCCCGATTCCCCAGAAGCAGCGGACGCTCCATGAGAAGATTCTCGAGGAGATCAAGCAAGAGAGGAAGCTTCGGCCGGTGCAGTCCCAGAAAGGTAAAGCCTCAGGAGACCCTCCCAAGAAGAGCTCTCCTCACCTGGGTTGGGGGGGGGGCAAACTCTGGCAGCCGCCCACCCCAGGTCCAAACCGACATCCCAGAATCACGGAGCAAAACCAAAGGCCTGCTGAAGGCCAAGCAAGGAGCACTTGAGGGTTCGAAGCACTTCACATACCTTGTGTTGTGTGGGCATCCTTACAACACCCTTGCTAGGTAGGTCCACACTATTATTGTTATCCCCCCCGTACTGCAGCGGGGGGGGGGGTGTCGAGTCTGTGTTTTGCCTTATGGCAGAGGTGAGGTTTGAGCTGCAATTCCACATCCACCCTTGAGGGAGAGAATTCCCCTTCCTGGAAACAACAACTGTCAAGACTGCTGGAAGACAAGATTTCAGCAATGTGTGTGTGCCAGGATAGTGCTCATCTCTTGTGCCCGGGGAACAATCTCCTGGCCTCCCTGGCTCTGTGTGGAGGGCAGGCAGGGGTGCGTGTCCCCTCGTCCCCTCCAGCTCCCCCCCCCACCTCTCTCCTCTTCTTGCAGGCTTTGGCTCTCTGCCCTGCCTCCTGAACGCCTGTCCCAGCGACCTCAAGTCCACCTCCTGCATCAACCTCTCTGTCTCCAACTCCAGCAGCGCCCCACCTCAGTGCCCGAGGCCGAGGGTCTTGCTGAAGGCGCCCACGCTGGCCGAGATGGAGGAGATGAACATTTCGGAAGTAAGAGCTGGGAGGGGGGCCCTGCTTTCTCTCGCCCTCCTGAATCTTGGCCCTAGAGCTATTCTAGGATTGGCAGCCTCCAGGTGGGGCCTGGGAATCTCCCGCTTTGACAACTGATCTCCAGCTGACAGAGATCAGCTCCCCTGGAGAAGATGGCTGCTTTGGAGGGTGGACTCTACGGCATTGGACCAGGCTGAGGCCCCTCCCCAAACCCCGCCCTCTCCTGGCTCAACCCCCAAAGTCTACAGGTATTTTTCACTCCACACCTGGCAACCCTAAACTATTCACACTTCTTGCCCCTCCATGGGGGAGGAGGGCGCTTCAGCCCTTGACCCGCCCCCCGCCCTCCAATCCCACCCCCAGGCCTTTCTTGCTCCCAAATACCATGGTGTGGTGCGCGCGCTCGAAGGACAGCAGTGGTTCCACTTCCTTTGCAGCACCGTGCGCTGGCTGGCTTGCGGGGGTGGGGGGAGAGATACCCTGTGGCCAGAAGGGGTGCCTTCAGCCGAGGGCTTCCATCTCCCGCTGTCTCCTGCAGGAGGAAGATTCTCCCAGCACGGAAGGGGTGGAGGACCCAGGCCCCTTGATGCCGCTGAAGCGGGACCGCTCCTTTTCCGAGCAGGACTTGGCTCAGTTCCAGAGTGGTGGCAGTGGCGGCAGCACCGAACTGGACTTGGAGAGCCTGGGAGGCAGCGGGTTGGAGCCAAGGCCCCGCTCAGGTACCCCCAGCCCTGCATGGACCGGCTGCATGGAAAAGGAGGGCAAGTGTTTCTCCCCCCCACCCCACCCCACCCCTTCTTCCCGGGCCGGCAGCCCTCTGACAGAGGGGGGATTCCACCCCTTGTGTCCCCTTTGGCAGTCGGAAACTTGCTTGGTGCCAAATTATGGAAGGAACGTCTGGGCACAGCGTATGGGTTGCTTGCGAGGGACCAAGAGGGGAGGCGGGGGGGGGACTTCATCTCCTCTGGGCAGGAGTATCTGGGTGGGCCGGCCTGGCCTTTTTCTAGGACTGGGTCCTACCCTTCTCCCTGCAAGGCGCCACCGGGGGGGGGGATGCATCCTTCTCCTTGGCACGGGAGCCCAGAAGAGCGGCACTGGCTGCTTCACCACCTAAAGGGAAGTCCTTTGCAGGGCTGGGGGGGAATTCTGTGTCTTTCGCTGACCGGCCTCCTGGTCACTCAGCCTGTGGCTCGGCATGTCCCATCTCCACCCCCCCCCCTGCAGGCAGCTCACAGGGCCAGACCGGCTTGGATTCAGCACTCAAGCGAGGCCTTTTTGAGTTGCTACATGTTGGGATTCTTTGGTAAAAAATGTATTTAAGCAGAGTAACAATCATTAGAATCAGGAGAGTAAAGATTGAGAGACTGAGTCTAAAAAGGTAAAGGTTCCCTTGCTCGAAAGTCAGCCGAATCCAACTCTAGGGTTGCGGTGCTCATCTCCGTTTCAAAGCCGAAGAGCCAGCGCTGTCCGAAGACATTCCCGTGGTCATATGGCCGGCATGACTAAACACCAAGGGGCACGGAATGCTGTGACCTTCCCACTGAAGTGGTCCCTATTTATCTACTTGCAATTTCTTGCTTTCGAACTGCCAGGTTGGCAGGAGCTGGAACTAGAGACGGGAGCTCACTCCGTCATGCGGCACACTCGGATCTCGAACTGCTGAACTACCAACCTTCCACAGCCTGCAGTTCAGCGTCTTAGCCACTTGAGCCACCGCAGCTCCAGACTGAGTCTATGTGTATGCAAAATATAAAAGTTTACTATAAATCTAACATGGGGGAAAGGTACATGGATAAAAAAATAACAACAGAACTAAATTGCTACATCCTTACAGCTAGAGAGATAAAACAGGAATGGCTTCTCCTTCTCCAGCAAGACAAAAGAGCAGAAAGGAGAAACCCAGTATGTTAAACACCTGATACATTGTTTTCCAATCAGATAGCTAAGGTTCTTACAAAATTCCCAGGCATTCTATTGTGTAAACAGATTGGTTACAAACAAACGTGTGACTTCATAGAATCATAGAATGTTTGAGTTGGAAGGGATCTTGCAGGTCATCTAGTCCAACCCCCTGCACTACAACTTCCTGTTGACTATGACAAACAACATTAACCCTGTAAATACTGAAGTGTTTTAAACTTGTTATACCCAACACTACGGCTGCCCTGACATGGAGAGCCCAGGGCAGCCCAGTCACATGAGATCTCGGAAACTAAGCAGGGTCGGCCCTGGCTCTGGTATTTGGATGGGAGGCCACCAAGGAATACCAGGGTCGTGACCAATGTTCCCTCTAAGCTGTGGAGTCTTGTGAGCAAAAATTCTACTTTGTGAGCTCCTGGCATTAAAGTTGTGAGCAAGTGATTTGGCTGCTGCATCAATTAGTTTGCTCTGGAGCCATCCCTTCCTGAGCGAAGACAAAAATGTGTGAGCCGGAAGCTAAAAAACTGTGAGCTAGCTCACACTAACTCAGCTTAGAGGGAACAGTGGTCGTGACTTGGAGGCAGGCATCTGAACGTCTCGTGCCTTGGAAACCCCACCAGGGGTCGCCATAAATCAGCTGTGACTTGACAGCGCCTTCCACTACCCTGGCTGCAAACATGTTCTCTGCCTAACTGCAGCTCTGAGGCCTAGGGACTAAAAGGAACCTCCACATCCAGAGGCAGTCACCCTGTGAATGCCAGTGCCAGACACTGGGGGAGGCCTCAGGCTGTGGTCACACATACTAAATAATCCACTTTCAATCCACTTTCCGATTGGATCTTGCCAGTTCACACAGTAAAACCCAGTTGGGAAGTGCATTGAAAGGGGATTCTTTATTGTGTGTGACCTCAGCCTCTGTTCCTTGTTCCTGGACATCCAGAGGAACTGCTGGGTCACAAGTGTGAGACCGGATGCTGAACCAGGGTCTGATCCAGGAGGGGCTCTTCTGATGCTCTTGGATGTCCACACTACCCAACTAGCATCTTCAGGGCATCCCCGCTCTGGCCCTGAAGCAGCAACCGGACAGTGGCTGAACGGGGGGCCTCCAGCGGTCATGCGTACGGGCGGAGTTTGGGCCGGGCCGGGGGGCCCTCTCCCTGCTCCTGCTGCTTTCCCCGTGAGGTCCTGACTCCACCCGCCTTCCTACTGCTCTTTTCTCCCAGGTTCCGTTCCAGCCAGTTACCACCAGGGCCCCTACGGTGGCACCAGTGCCTTGCCCTCCGGCCAGGGCGTCCTCAGCGCCGTGGATGAGAAGTCGGAAGCGGGCTGTGGCCCCGCCCCAGAGGCCAACGTGAAACATTTGTGGCTGGTGAGTGTCTGATGCGAGAGGAAGGGCGGTGGGCGTGGCAGGCCAGAGGGTGGGACTCTCGCCCAGGGTCAACTTGTCGGGCGGGAAGTCGCCTCCCCTGTTCCAGAGTGGGAGTGTGCAAAAAGCAGCCCTCTTGCAACTCAGGAGAAAACCTTGTGGAGGGGACAGCATGGGAGGTTATAATGGGGAGGGGCTGTGGCTCCGTGAATGAGCCTCTGCTTGGCATGCAGAAGGTCCCCGGTTCAGTCCCCAGCAGCATCTCCAGTTAAAGGCACCAGACACAGCAGTAGATGATATGAAGGACCTTTTTCTGCCCGAGACCCTGGAGAGCGGCTGCCAGTCTGAGTAGACAAGACTGAGCTTGATGGACCGAGGGTGAGATTCAGTAGAAGGAGGAGGAGGAGATTGGATTTATACCCCGCCCTTCACTTGGAGCGGCTTACAAACTCCTCTCCCTTCCCCTCCCCACAACAGACACCCTGTGAGGTGGGTGAGGCTGAGAGAGCTCTGACACAAACAGCTCTTTTTCAAGGACAGCTGTGCCAGAGCTTGTGACTGACCCAAGGTCACATCAGCAGGTGCAAGTGGAGGAGTGGGGAATCAAACCCGGTTCTCCCAGATCAGAGGCCACACACTTAACCACTACACCAAACTGGCAGCTTCCGGTATTCATACTGGGGAGGGGCTGTGGCTCAGTGGCAGAGCCTCTGCTTGGCCTGCAGACTGTTCCGGGTTCAATGTTTGGCATTGCCAGATAAGGGGATCGGGACGTGTGTGAAAGACCTCTGCCTGGAGAGCCGCTGCCAGGTCTGATTCCATACAAAGCCGCTTCATGCACAGTCAGTGGGTGGGTCTTCCGACTCCTTCCCTCATCTCGGACCTCATAAATGGGACTAAAGGACCAAATATGCATTCACATCCTGCAACTCCCCCCCACGTAAAATCATCACATCGATTACCTAAAATGATTAAATGCATTCGAAATCAAAAGAGAGAATGTAAATCGTTCCCTGCCCTTGTTCCTTCAAGCCGAGATTCCTTTTCTGGCAAAGGCCTCCACGATGCCCCAGTAATCCCAAGGCCTCTGGCCTCCGCAGCTGCTCCCACCTCTCATAGACAGGAGGAGAGCCGTCCGAGGCCCTTGTGGGCGTGGGGGGGGGGCTTTATTTAGCTGGAAGAGGCCACCCAGCCTTCCTCAGGGCTGTGCCCTGCGTGTGCGCACCCTGCAGCCAGCCGCCCAGTGTTTCTGTGCTCTGCAGCAGGAGTTCAGCCACCCGGTGGAGAGCCTGGCGCTCACCGTGGACGAGATGATCAACGTGCGACGGGTGCTGGTGAAGGCGGAGATGGAGAAGTTCCTGCACAGCAAGGAGCTCTACAGCAGCCTGAAGAAAGGGAAGGTGAGGGGGGGCTGTGCTTGGGGGGGGGCGGCCCTCTTGGGCAAGAGCTGCTTCCGGGGCCTCCGGGGGCCTTCCAGGAGCCCTGCTGGAGGCTTAGGGGTGTTTTTTCCCAATCTCCCCCCCCCCTTTAGATCTGTTGCTGCTGCAGGACCAAGTTTGCCCTTTTCTCCTGGCCCCCCGTCTGCCTCTTTTGCAAAAGGTGAGTGAAGCGGGGGAGGGGGCCTGGAGGTCAGCGGGGGGGCTGCCGCTGGGTGCAGGGTGGGTGGGGAGCTGCTTGCTGACCCAGGTGCTTTCTCTCTGCCTCCAGGTCTGTCTGCAGCTCCTGCAGCCTGAAGGTGAGAGTCCCTCCTGGGGGGGGAGTGTCCTGTGGTCTCCCCCGATTGTGCGCAGCAGCGTTAGGATGCTGAAGGGAACGGCCCCCACCAACTGGTGGCTCCAGAGGCACTGCACTCCCTGGGGGTTGGGCGGAGGCGCATGCACCTGCCGAAGGTCTGCAGAGAACGTCTCCATGCCGTTTAGTGAGGAGCTGGGCACGGAGTGGCCCTGGTGCGCCACGGCCCTTTGGTCCTTGGGCTGCTGGCTGGTCACCATGCGCCAGTGAAGGCCGTTTCCTCTCTTTCTAGATCAAGATGCCTTTGAAGAAGCTTGCCCACATCCCCGTCTTCGCCTTGGGCTTTGAGACCTTGCCGGGCTCCTTGGGGGCCAAGGCACCCCCATATCGGAGGAGGGAGGCATTTTGGTGAGTGGCACTCCTCCTGCCCATTGGGCGGACGGTGGCTCTGCTGGGCCCGGTGGCGTTTCTGACCCGCCCTGTCTGGCGCTCCCTTCCTTGCAGCTCCTTGCAGGGCACGCGCTGGCGCAGCGTGGAGGAGGAGTTCCCCATCATCTACGCACACGGCTCCGTGCTCAAGGACGTGTGCAGTGACTGCTCGGGCTTCGTCACCGACGTGGTCAGCTCCAGCCGCAAGAGCATGGACATCCTGAACAGAACGCCCTGCCGGAGCCGCAAGACGCAGTCCCTCTACATCCCCTCCAGCTAGCCGGCTCGGCTCCCGGAACACGCACACACGCTCCACCGCTGTGCCCCCTCCCCCGACTCCACTTCTGACTGGGTTGGACTCTCTCTTGGTGTTTGCACCAGTGAGGAAGACACCGTCTCTCTGTCGGAGGGCCTGTCCTTGGGGCTTCTGGAGACTCACTCCCTGCCCTGCTGCATGTCCACGCAGCTGACTGCCTCGTCCCCGCCATGAGCGCCTGCTGCCTGAGCGTGTACATAGATGCATATGTTGGGGGGGGCCCCCCTCTTTGGGCCGTGTTTGGACTGGCACTTCCTTGCCTGCGAGGCTGAGTGGCCCTTCGGCCCTCCCTTGGGACAACTTGGCTGAGTGGCCCTTCGGCCCTCCCTTGGAGAGCTGGTGAGCAGGGGTCGGGCTGTGACTCCCCTTCCGGCCGCCCTGACCCACCTCGCTGGCTCGTCTGGAGGGGGTCTCCCCCAGACCCAGCTGGGCGGAAGGGCCTGCCCCTGTCTGCGTGCCTCCTGAGCTTGAGAGAGCAGCGGCCCCTTCAGCTGCCTGCCCATCCGTCTCCTGGAGCCGATCTCCCCTTGGCTTCGGCTTTCCTTCTCCTGCGGTGTCTTGATTCCTCCATCTTTCTTTCTTCCCACAGCGGGGAGAGAAGGGGGAGTTTTTAAAGACATGCCTTCAGACCGTCCTTGCCTGCCCTCTTTTTATTTAAGGTGGTGCCAAGCGGAGGTGGGGGGGGTCTCTCTTCCCTGTCCTCCTGCCGTGTTTTCCTAACCCAGCAAATAATAAAATGCCTGATTGTTTTGTTGAAGTGTTTAGAGAGCATTTCTGGCTCGGGGGAGGACACGGGGCAGGGGAGAAAGTGACACTGGGGGGGGGCACAGGCCGGGGGCCAGAGTTACAGCTGGGGCAGTGAGTGTGGTCCTGGCGCTGGGCTGGGCATGCTTCCCCCTCCCCCCCTTTGGGGAGAAGAGGCCGAAAGGGGCTGCCGTTGCCCCGGCGCCTGAAGGGTGTGTGTGAGAGTTTGGATGGATCCCTCAGGCAGGCATCTTGCCCTCCGTCTGGGTGGGTGCAAGAGGCAGGCTGGGTCTGCCAGTGTGCTTTCTGGAAGTGGCTCACGGAGGCATCGTAGGCCGTGCCCTGCTTCTTTCGTTCCCCTGGCGGCCACTTTCAGAGAACCCGGCCGTCTTCCAAAAGGGCCCCGGAGGCCAGAGACGTCATTTTAAAGCTGAGCGATGCAGGAGTTTCAGATTTTGGAGTTGGCTTCCCAGGCTCCTCATTGCCGGAGGAGAGGGCAGCGCATCTCTAGGCCGCAGCCTTCTCCTGTCCTCATAGAAAGAAGAAATCTGTCCGGGGCTGTTCCACAGGCCAGAAGCCCAGCCGACAGGAAGCTGCTGGTGGTGGTGGTGGTGGGGTAATAGTTTGGAAATGGCAGCTGCCTGCAGTGACCCAGACGCTCCTAGATCCTAGGCTGCCACTCTCCGTGATAGCTCTGAGGGGCCCTGGGATGCCACATGGGGGCAGCAGATGCTTCTGTCTTTGCCTGTGGTGGAGGCTTGCGTGCCGTTGGAGGCCCAGCCAGCTGTTGGTGCAGATGCAACTGTGGGCCTGCCTTGGAAGAGAGGGTGCTTTCGTCCCCCGGCGGCCACCATGGTGCACTGCTCTGGGCTGAGCTGCTCAGTCCAAGGGGCAGAAAGCTGGCCGGTCCTCCCGCTACAGGCCGAGCCTCTTGTTGCCGTGTCTGGTGTTTGTCTTGCTCTGTGTGCCAATCTACTTGCGTGCCTTGGCTGCGCTGCTGCCTCTGGATTGCCGTCGCTGACCACCGCCATGTCTGCACTCCGCGTCAGAGAGGGAGAGGGGATCTCCCCCCCCGCCACCCCCGCTCCTGCCTGAACTTGCACCTCCGGCCAATGTTTTCTAAGTAGCCTGAACTGTAAAGAACTGTAAATAAAATCTGAAGCCGACCTGTCCGCGCCTCTTGCCTTGCCTCGTAGCCTGCGTCATGCTGGTCTGTGCCTTTACCTCCCGGGTACGTGTTGTGCTCCACTTAGGGGAGGTGGGCGAGGGGGTCTTGGGGAACTGCACCCAGAGGTTGCTAGGGAAACATCTACGGCGTGCCCCTTCCTAGATGTGTACCTCAGAACATAAGTAGAGGATGTTGTTTTGTTGTTCAGTCGCACAGTCGAGTCCGACTCTTCGCGACCCCATGGACAATCTCCCGCCAGGCTCTCCTGTCTTCCGCCGTCCTCCGAAGTTGGCTCAATTTCATGTTCGTTGCATCGCTGACACTGTCTAACCATCTCATCCTTTGCCATCCCCATCTTCTTTGACCTTCAATCTTTCCCAGCATCAGGGTCTTCTCCAGTGAGTGCTCCCTTCTCATTGGGTGGCCAAAGTATTTGAGCTTCAGTTTCATTATCTGGCCTTCCAGGGAACAGTCAGGGTTGATTTCTTTTAGGATCGACTGATTTGTTCTTCTTGCAGTCCAAGGGACTCTCAAGAGTCTTCTCCAGCACCATAGTTCAAAAGAATCCATTCTTCGGCGCTTGGCCTTCCTTATAGTCCAACTCTCGCAGCCATACATGACTACTGGGAATAGAGGATGAGTCACATGCAAATAGCCAGGTATGCCTAGGTATGAAAGAGTGGAGGCTAGGGTTGCCAACTGCCAGGGGGCACCTGGAGACCTCCCACTATTACAGTGGAACTCCAGCTGATAAAGAGCAGCTTTCCTGGAGAAAATGGCTGCTTTGGAGGGTGGACTCTGTGGCATCATACCCTGCTAAGGCCCCTCCCCAGGTTCCACTCACCAAATCTCCAGGTATTTCCCAACCGAAAGCTGGCAACTATACTTATAATGGGGATGGAAGGGACAAACACATACACAGAATGCATGTCTATTTTTGACATATGTAGGTTAGATGAGACTCCATTTTCATTTTTGTCAGTGGAATGAAACCCCCCCCCCCCACGATCTCCACAAAATGCTGTTCCTGAGGGGGAAAGTGGACCCTGAGGAAGACCAGGAGGTGGGTCTGGAGTGGGGAGGGGGGGACTGGTGGAAACTGCCGGTTTAGTCTTCATTTGTCCCCACTGGGGAGTGCAAACAATGAAGAAAACAACGGTCATGTATAATGAAAATATGTATTTAGACTGCTGTTTTGCAATGAGTAGTATTTCATCGACACTAACGGAATTTGCATATACTCCCGTTTCACATAACCACTTATCTAAGTGTGCTGCGTGAATAACATTGGTTTACACATCAAAATGTAAAGAATTTGTTTCATGGAAGAGGGAAGAATGTTTTGTGTTAACGTTCAGGGATTAGAATTGTTGATGTGTAACCCGGGTGCCGCATGACGGAGTGAGCTCCCGTCTCTAGTTCCAGCTCCTGCCAACCTAGCAGTTCGAAAGCAAGAAATTGCAAGTAGATAAATAGGTACCGCTTCGGTGGGAAGGTAACAGCGTTCCGTGCGCCTTGGCGTTTAGTCATGCCGGCCACATGGCCACGGAAACGTCTTCGGACAGCGCTGGCTCTTTGGCTTGGAAACGGAGATGAGCACGCAACCCTAGAGTCGGATTCGACTGGCTTTACCTTTACTAAACCCATCTTGTTGATGAAATACTACTCACTGCAAAACAGCAGTCTAAATATATATATTTTCATTATACATCACGGCTGTTTTCTTCGTTGTTTGCATCCTTCCCCGTGATCTCTCTGCTGTTTCTACATTCATCCGGCGAGATCTGAGAGAGAGGGGTTCCCGGCCTGCCCTGGACCCCGGGAGCCTGCCTTCTCTCGCCCCCCCTCCCCGAGTGGCGCAATGCGGGCGCCTCGCCGCCACCTCCACCGGCTCCGGGCTCGCAGGCAGAGGAAAGCGCCGAGCGACAGAAGCCCGCCGCCAAGCGAAGCAGCAGCGCCCTCAGGCGCCCGACCGCAGAACTGCAACGCCTGCAATGAGAGCCGCGGCGATCTTATCCCCTTCCGCCCGCCGTGAGACAGGAGGGCAGGGTACGCACGCGCAGAACTCAGCGCGCGTCAAAGCCCTTCTCGCATGCGCAAAGGGGAACGAGTCGTCTCCTAGGAGGGCCGTTGCTTCCTTTCGGGTCCTCCTTCCGGCTTCCGGTCCGTTGGTCTCTTTGGCCCGGCCTGCTACAGCCCGGGGATGTCGCGGCGGGCCTTGAGGCGGCTACGGGGGGAGCTGCGCGGGCAGGCGCTGCCGGAGGTCGAAGAGGAGGAGGAGGAGGAGGAAGAAGAAGAAGAGGAGAAGCGGCAGCAGCAGCAGCCGTCGGCGGGGCCTGGGCAGGACGGGGCGAGCGCCAGGCGGAGGAAGGCCCGGCAAGAGCCGGGCGGGCGCGTCGCCAACCTCTTCGAGCTGGTGAGAGGCCCGGGAGGGCTCGGCCGGTCCCGCCACGACACTCGTCTTTATTCGGGCGGAGGAGAACGTCTACGCTGCTCCCTCAGAAGCGTGCTTGAGGCCTCCCACAGAGGCTGCGGTCACGCACGCTCAACAACCCACTTCCAATGCACTTTCCAGCTGGATCTCGCCAGTTCACGCGGTAAAAACCCAGTTGGAAAGTGCACTGAAAGTGGATTGTTGAGCGTGCGTGACCGCAGCAGTGGAACAATGTAACAGAAAACAACGAAGTTCGACTTTTTCATGCTTGCAGGGGAAAGCTCATGCCCTGAATAAAACTTGGTCGGTCTTTAAGGTGCCGCTGGGCTCAAGCTGTGTTCTGTTGCTTTCAGACCAACACGGCGACCCACACAAATGTAATAGAATAATAACAACAGAAATATAAGCGTTATTAAGGGGGAAAGCAAGGTATAGAAGAAACATTAAGCAGCCTAAAAGGGTGCCTGGAGATCTCCCAGAGTTACTACTAATCAGTTCTCTGGAGAAAAGGGCTGTTTTGGAGGATGGGTTCTATGGCATTATACCCTGCTGAGGACCTTCCCTGGGCTCTACCTCCCAAATCGCCAGGAATTTCTCAACCTAGAGTTGGTTGCCTTGTTTTAGCTGGACACATACATGAAACTAAAGCGGGCACCAAAGGTAAGGTGCCTTCACCAAAAAAAGCCCCATCTTCGGTTACACCTAAACAGGAGAGGCACAGAGAGCAGGGTGTGATGATATGGAAGGAGATGGCCCTTCAGGGGCCGGACTGGGTGGCGGCAGTAGCTGGGCAGGGAGACTAGCTGTCCTCTGTCCCCATTCTCCATATCTGGTTGCTACTATTTAGTATACTGTCTCTGCACCTGGAGGTTCTGCTCACAGTAGTTATGGCTAACATCTGTTTCTGGGCCTGGCCTCCTCCTTCACACCACTTCTCCACACAATTGTTGAGTTCTTGTTTTGGTCTCCAAGGCATTTGAGCCATGGTCACATCCTGTAGCTCCATCAACTATTTGGGTAAAGAAGCATATCCTTTTATCAGCCCTGGACCTGCTGCCAGGCACCTTAATTAAGTCTGGGGTCTGGTATTGTTTTCTTGGAGCTGCGGTGGCTCAAGTGGTTGAGACGCTGAACTGCAGGCTGTGGAAGGTCAGTAGTTCAGCGGTTCAAGACCCGGGTGCCGCAAGACAGGGTGAGCTCCCGTCTCTAGTTCCAGCTCCTGCCAATGTGTTGCTTCTAAGCTGCTGGCATAACTTTTGCTTAAAATTGGGGTTTAACGTTTTTAGTGTTCTGAGGAAAAAGAGAAAGAGTTTCCCATTGTTTTGACTTTGTGAACATAAAACATTGCCTGTTCAGAGTCAGACCTTTGGCCTATCTGTCCTATTTTTGTCTACTCTGGCAGTAGCTTTCCGAGGTCCTTGACAAGATCCCCGTCTCCGCACTGTTTCATGAGCTCTCTTTGTTAAGTGGTGCTGGAGATTGAACTTGGGACCTCCTTCGTGCAAAACAGATTTTCTGAGCTATGAACCCTTCCCTTTATAGAAGAAATAAAATCATACATCTGCTTTTATTTTTTAATTCAAGAAGTCCCTGCCTTTGTTTCCAGCAATGAGAAGAATACAGATTCTGTTTGCTTGATTGGGCTAATTGAATTATGCTCTTCTTAAATTCTGCACAGATAACCAGTGATGATCCTGAGGGTGAGCCAGTATCCATTGAGGAGAGAGATGATTCTAGGCTGCAGGAGGAGGGGCACACAGGGAACAAAGAAGAAGCTGAACTTGGATGTTTGGAGAGTGACAGGGGGAAAGATGGAGAAGAGGCGGATCCATCTAACAAGACGGCAAGTAGCCTGCAGTCAGCAGGGGTGGTACCCTGGAGAAGGCAGGAAATCCTTCAAGTTCCCACCACCTGAGCAAGGGATAGTCTCCAATGCAAAGTCCTACCAAATCTGACCTTCACAGGGATCAGATGCACTGTGTGGTTGTATCCAGTGTCCATACATACAGTACTGCTGTGATCCACACACAAAGAGGTCTTACTGTGAGTGTGGGTTAGCAGGAATTTTCTGGAATTCCATAGATAATTTATTATTTATGATCTGCCTAATCCTCACTTGGAAAGGACTAAAGGTTTGGGTTAGAGTTCAGTCTTAAGCAGACTGAAATTTGTTTTCAAGCCCTTCTTTCTGGTCATAGATGAAAACTGAAAGATGCAAGTTGAATGCAACATTTTCCCTAAGGGTGCAGCAAGACAGAAGTGTGAAATCAGTGAACACATCTGCAAAAATTTAACTGTGGGTTGTGTGCTTGTGTCTCAGTTTGGAGTGGGGCCATTACAGTAGGAGGGGAATTTAACCCTTTATGTTGTTGCTCTCATAGAATCAGGCTCCCTTGAACTATTACTAGCCCTAGCCAAAGGAGGGGGGAAACGGGTACAATATGGTACCTCTCTTCCCCACCCCAAGAATATGGAAAATGGTGGAATTGTGGTGGGCTTTAACCTTTAGAGTGTGTGTGTGTTTTAAGTCAGGAGCCCTGATTATGGTTTTTCCATGTCTCATCTAGTTGAACCTGAAAGCTTCAGACGTTATGGGGGTCTCCTGCCACCCTCAGAGTGATTAGCGCAAAATTAAAACAGGAAGCACTGACTTCTTAGGTCTCCAAGAAAGATGATATTCACTTGAAAGCCCTGAAAATGAAAGAGATATTTGGTGGGGTTCAGTCGTGGTCCCTGTAGTGCCACATCAAAACCTGGCCTTGGATTTAAATGCCAGAGGAGAGGAAGGCAAGGAAAGAGGCACCGTCTGCAAAGAATGCTTTGAGCTTGTCAAGGGGGGAAAACAAGGGTTGAATGCTGCCATGGGCCCAGCTGCAGCCTGCTTTTATTTGCACTGAGCCAAATAGCCTCTCGTAAGTCAATGCTCTGAACAGTTGCTTCTATCTTCCCTTGGACTAGATCCCTTCTTTGCATTTGGGTATTTTGCTGGACTCCTCAGGATGTGTCTTACCAGTGCCATTTGCTTTCCCCCCTAAATAAAGGCTGTATCAAGTAACAAATCACGGAAGAAGAAGAAGAAAAGAAAGAACAAGAAGAATGCAGCAGGCGAGGCTCCCGTACGTTTGCCTCGGTTTGGTGACTAGCGTTAAGCATCAGTGACCCCCCCTCCCCCGGAGTGCCCGATGAGATGGAGGAGGGCTTGGTGCCCAATCAAGGGGTTGACACACAGGGCAAAAGCCTGGACAAATCCCAGGTTCTCCTTAGGAACTTGAGGTATTTGTGGGGTCTGGTGTGAGGCTGGCCTGTACCCAGGGGCCTCCAAGGGATCTAGGCGGCCAGTCCTGGGGAACGTTGGTTTGGAGAAGGGACCGTGCAGTCGAAGCAGCAATGGGGATCTGCGGCGAGGGTCCGACTCAGGCCTTCTCCAGGGGAAGGGCGGGTGGGCGGAGGCTGGGTATCAGAGTCAGACTTCCCTTGCTGTCGTCTTGATGTCTCCCCGCAGTGCCCCCAGGATGAAAATGATGATGCAGAAGACATCGAGAGTATCCTGGTGAGGCTTGAGAGCACTACAGGGCCATGGTGCCAAAGCGAAGGCAGGGTCATCGCAGACAGTCGGCCGCTGCTCTACGTGGAGCACAGGTAAGAGGCTGTGAGCAGCAGGCGGAGAGTAGCCCCGACCAGGCTGGCCCAATGATCTCGTCAGACCTGAGAAGCTAAGCAGGATCGGCCCTGGTTGGATGGGAAAGGAAGTCTAGGGTCCCTATGCAGAGGCAGGCAATGGAAAACCAACACCACCACAGGTCCTGGAAGCTAAGCAGGGCCAGGCCTGGCTATTATTTGGATGGGAAGACTACCAATGAATACCAGCATTGTGACCCAGAGGCGGTGTTCCCTCTAAGCTGAGTGAGTGTGAGCCAGCTCACAGGTTTTTAGCCTCCGGCTCACACATTATTGTCTTAGCTCAGGAAGGATGGGGCTCCAGAGCACACTAGTTTATGCAGTCGCCAAATCGCTCGCTCACAACTTCGATGCCAGTCACTCACAAAGTAGAATTTTTGCTCACAAGACCCCACACCTTAGAGGGAGCATTGCCCAGAGGCAGGCAGTGGGAAACCACCTCTGAGCCTCTCTAGCCTTGAAAACCCTGCCGGGTCGCCTTACGTCAGGTGTGACTTGATGGCAAAAAAGAAGTGGAGGGTCAGAGGCTTGGGATGGCGGGTTGCCTTCATTGCACTTCTTGTCCAGAAGAGGGCAGCACTGGTGAGAGCTGTGGGGACCTTCACGGAATGGAGGCTGCATCGCTCTTGATCTGCCCTGCTGGGGCTGCCGGCTTCTGCCCGCCCTTCCAGGGGCAGGCTGCGATATCTGCAGCTGGCAGCCCCCTCTGAGGGGAGGGCGGAGGGCTGGGACAGGTCTCTGGAGCAAAGACGTGGACTCATGTGTTGAATTCCCCCCCCCCCAGGAACTTGAATCCAGAAACTGAGCTGAAGAGGTATTTCGGGGCCCGAGCGGTTCTAGGCGATCAGAGGTGAGCAAGCAGCCGAAGCGTGAAGCAGGTATTTAGCCCCCAGGGGAAGGTTGCTTGCAGGTGTGTTCTAAAAATGCACTTTCCGAGTGCTTGCTTGTTAAGCTGTCTGAAGTTGAGGCTCTCTGAAAGCCTCAAGTGGACTTATGGAGCGAGAGGCCAGTGACAGAGAGCTTAGCAGCTGCCCAGAGCCCAAGTCCAAGGCGGAAGAGTAGCACCAGCATCTTGCTAAAGGTAGGGCTGGCTTTTGGCTCATTGTGCTCATCTAACCCACCTCCTGGGCTGCCTGAGCCCAGCCTGGAGGCATAAGTGACCTCCTGGGTCGTTTGGGTGTGGATGAAATGAGGCGGCCTGGGGTTGGGTGTCTTTGGGCCAGAGCTGGGCCATTAGTCCCAGAATTTCCCAAGGAGGGCGGGGGTGCCAAAGGGCTGGGAACCACCCCGGCTCAAAGAAGCGAGGAGGCCCGGTACACCCGGAAGCTGTGTGGTCTTGGGCTGGCAGGAGCAAAGGCACAGGCTCTGGTAGGTCAGTCACGGGCTGCCGCCACCTGCAGGTCACTTCCAGCTCCCCTCTCCTGTCCTCCTCTTCTCCTTTCCCCTCCCTGGGAGGAACTCCAAAGGTGGCTTTACAGAGACTGTTTGGTTTTGTGAATATAGTGTAGTGAGAGCCAGTTTGGTGTAGTGGTTAAGTGCGCGGACTCTAATCTGGGAGAACCGGGCTTGATTCCCCACGCCTCCACTCACACCTGCTGGATGACCTTGGGCAAGCCATAGTTCTGTCAGAGCTGTTCTTGAAAAAGAGCAGTTTCTGTCGGAGCTCTCTCAGCCCCGCCTACCTCACAGGGTGTCTGTTGTGGGGAGGGGAAGGGAAAGGAGTCTGTAAGACGCTCTGAGACTCCCTTGGGTAATGAAGGGTGGGGTAGAAATCCAATCTCTTCCTCTTCTTCTTACATGCGGACAGAGGTTCTGCCTTCCGCCATACTTCATTTCTGGAAGGCGAAGCCTGTGTATGTTCTTTTTAAAATATTCTCTAAAGTTATGCGTACTGTTAGAAGAGTCTCAGATTGGTTTCTCTTTGGGTGCTGAAAGGGATTGGCTCGGCAGAAGAAGCTGGCTTTTTTCTTTTTTTGACTAAGTGTCTCAGTCCAGAGAACCTTGCCGTTCAGTCGCCGACCCCGGTGATGTGGAGTTTTGTTTCTTCTGCAGGCCAAGGCAGAGGCAGCGGCCACATCTCCGCAGCACGTGGCTGACAGTGCCCAAGAGTGCTTGGCCACGCCACAGCAAGACAGGTGAGAGGCCCTCCTGTTGGCCGTTTCTTGAATGTGGGCAAAAGCACAGCTTGCCTTATCTGTTGGCGGGGCGGCCTGTGCACAATGGATGCATGGAAGCAATGCGTTTGCGTGCCAGCTACTGGAACGCTCCCCCCACCTTATGCGACTGGGGCCACAGCTCTTGCCTGGCAACCTCACATAACTTCTGTTGTGAGGGATGTCTATTTCGTGTCGTCAGTGTTGATTTCCCTGACTGTGCGTGCTTGTTGGCCTAGGTGTGTGCATGGGAGAACCCTGGCTTTGTTCAGTGCTGAAAGAAAGACAGTCCCTGTTATAGTGGGACAGCAGAACTAACTCAGTGTTTTGGGGCACCCAGTGTTTTTGGACAAGTTCTCCAGAGCTGATGACTGGTTGTATTTTAACTAAAAAAGGTAAAGGTAAAGGTTTCCCTTGCTTGAAAGCCAGTCGAATCCGACTCTAGGGGGCAGTGCTCATCTCAGTTTCCAAGCCAAAGCTGTCCGGAGTTTCCAAGCTGTCCGGAGACGTTTCCATGGTCATGTGGCCGGCATGACTAAACACTGAGGCGCATGGAATGCTGTGCCTATTTATCTCCTTGCAGTTTCTTGCTTTCAAACTGCTAGGTTGGCAGGAGCTGGGGCCAGAGACGGGAGCTCACTCCGTCCCACGGCACTTGGGTCTCAAACTGCCGAGCTACCGACTTTCCAGTCTTAACCACTCGAGCCACCGCAGACCTTTGTATTTTCACTAGTCTCTGCTTTATTGTATTTATTTGCATGTCTAGGTTTAAGCATCTATTCAAGTTTTCATGCTGTGTTTGTGTATGCTGTGAACTGCTCCAAGTCCTCTGGTGAGGAAAGGGTGCAGGTTATAAATGGATTAATTAAACAAATAAATAGTTACAGTTGTAGGCCTACTGCGTCAAGAACTCAGACATGCGTGCTAGGAGTAAGCAGTGCGAAGGAAGTGGACATGGCCTCTTCCCGTGGTCCAGTTTCCTGTCTGAGGTTTGGGTTTCCAGAGAATTTGTTGGTGAGGCTAGGAACAGAGGAGCCAGGAAAGGCCAGCAGGTGGAGGTGGGGGATCCAGGCCTTGCCCAGGAGGCACCAACCCCATGGCCTAATATTAGCAACATTAGCATGGCCTGGGACACTGTGTTGTCTTCAAGCTGTGACTTTCAAGCTCAAAACAAATGGGGTGTCTGTGTGTCTGTTTTGTCAAGGGATTTGTATTTTGGGTGGGCAGGAAGTGTTCTTCTTCCCATGCCTGTGGCCTTAACAGCCCCTCCCCCTCTAGGTCTCTCCATGCGGCTGCTTGAGTCCAAACGGGGGGTGCAGCACTTTGCGTTCGAGCACCACCGAGAGTACCAGCAAGTGCAGTTCAAGTTCTTGGACGCGGTGGAGTCCATGGACCCCAACAACCTCGTGGTAGGTGCTCCGCTGGGCAGGTCCCTGGGGGAGCCTCTGGGACCTTCCTGGGGCAGATCTCCACGGTACAAAAGCAGTGCCACAGATGATGACGACGCCTCCTCCCTTTCTCCCTGGACGTGACAGGCAGGATATCCCCTGGGGAGTCATATGGCGAAAGGAAGATACTGCAGGATTTTAGCCTGGCCTGCTAGAGTGTTTCTTAGCCCTGGTGCTGAGTGCGGAGGGGTGGCAGCGATGGGCAAAGACTTACTCCCAAGGCAGCAGTTGGACAGTTTGGTGTCGTGGTTAAGTGCACAGACTCTAATCTGGGAGAACTGGGTTTGATTCCCCACTCCTCCACATGCAGCTGCTGGTGTGACTTTGGGTCAGTTAAGTTCTTTCAGAGCTCTCAGGAGCAGTTCTTAAAAGAGCTCTCTCGGCCCCACCTGCCTCACCGGCTGTCTGTTGTGGGGAGGGGAAGGGAAAGGAGTTTGTAAGCCGCTCTGAGACTCCTTCAAGTGGTGAAAGGTGGGGTATAAATCCAATCTCCTCCTCCTCCTCTAGTGGCACCAACCAAAATAATGCAAAATAATGCGTGTGCTTTTGATGCGGTCCGGTTGCACAGAGTTTTTCACAAGGCTTTGAGGTTCAGTATGGGGGTGGTTTTGTAGGGATTGCTCTGCCGTGCCCTGAAATCTTTTTTCCCTCCTCTTTGTACCCGTCCCCCTCTTTATCCTGAACGTCCACCCCGTTGAAGAACTCAGGAGAAAGCAGAAGCTCTCTCTGCCTTGTTAGTTCACTGGTTAACCCTAATAAAAAGGTATTACATGATCCCTGTTGTGTTTGGGGCCGTGTTTCTCTGGGCTGAAGATCCAGCCTCTGACAGGCCCATTCTGCCCTTTATGCTGCTGCCACCAGCAAAACATCTTGAGGCAATGAGTTCTGTAGGCTGGGCAGGCCTGCTTTCTCCTCTCATCATCTCAGTGCTGACAAAGAAGCTTGGGATTGCAACCCTGTTGAGAGTCTGAGCTGCCCCCCTCTTTGTTTTAGAGGGAGTGGAAAGCAACCTGCGTTGTTGCTTTGCAGGGCAGAATTTGGACGAGGGGCAGAAGCTCTCTCTCTCTCTCTCTCTCTCTCTCTCTCTCTCTCTCTCTCACACACACACACACACACACACACACACACGTGTCCCTCCTGGGGCTTATTGGCTGGGAGGAGCCTCCTTAAGAGGGCAAGAAGCCCCAAGGGGAGGCCCTTCTTCCCAGCTTGGAGGGGAGGGGGAGTGGTACATAACCCTTCAGATTTGGACAGCCTACTGTGCTATTTATAAACTTTGCACTGCTTGGGAGAGAGATGCCTAATTTCTCTTGGTACTTAGCGGAACAGGCACCGCTTTGAGGCTTTTATGAGGCGTGTCAAAGTGAGTTAAACAAGGCAGTAACTTGGACGGCTCCTACAAAGAGTGCGAAGAGCAAAATGGGCTCCATGGCCTAATATTAGCATAACTGGGACACGGACGGGCCGAGAGCCCCGGTCTCTCCCCCCCCCCTCCCCCGGACGAGGCGCATTCGATGCTTTGAAACTCCGGTGCTCCCTCTTGGCACACAGAAGGGGCTTTGTCCAGGGGGAAGGTCTCTGTGGGCTTCCCAGAGCAGCTCCCAGGCTGCCCTCCTCTTCCTCCGTGCCCAAGTGGAGGGGACCACATCTGTTTGTTGGCAGCAGTTGGCAGTGATTGGTTGGCCACTCAGAAGACCACCAGTACTGGCACCATGGGGGGGGGAGATGAGCCTCCTGCTGCCCCTGGCTCCCCGCCAGCCTTGGATTTTTCTTTCCGCCTTGAGGAGGGACAAGTGCGTATGCAGATGTGGCACAGGTGGGAGGACCCAAAGGAGGGCAGCAGCAGACTCCCAGTCCGGCCTCCGTGCGTCCGTGGGGGTCCTCCACCGTCTTCGCCAGGTACCCTGGGAGGACCTCATGTCCTCCTGCCCTGGAGGCAGGAGGGTTTTTGTGTTGCTCTCTCAGGGGCTGTCTGGAGGGCTACCAAGGAGCCCGTAGCCAACCTCCGCCCATTCTGTCTCCCGGCAGCTTCTGCTCCAGGTGAACCCTTACCACGTGGACTCGCTGCTGCAGCTCAGTGATGTGTGTCGGATGCAGGAAGACCAGGAGATGGCCAGAGACCTCGTGGGTAAGAAGCGGAGGGGCAGCCGGGGAAGACCTCCTCGCAGGGTCGGTTGGTAGGTGCCTGCCTGGGCCATCCCTAGCATCAGGCCTCTCCTCCCAGGAGTGGGCACCAGTAACAGAGGCAGGGCTCTTTTTGTAGCAGGAACGGCGTGGGTGCCAATGCCCATGGCTGGGGGGGGGTCACAGTTTCATGTCTCTGGGATCAGCCAGTCCCTGTTTTTTACGTGGTCACTTTATTTAGAAGAAAAACTATGCTGCCTGTCTAGGAACCTGCCCAAGTTGGCTGATGAAATAATAATAAAAAAAACAAAACACTAAAAGGTATTGATTAGAATCCAGCCCCGCATATAAAGATAGACCATAACAATAGACCACCGGCAGCTTAAAATAAGTTTCTGGACTAAAGTGATGTTTTAAAAAGCCCAGGTGAACAGAAATGTTCTGTCCTGGCTCCTGAAAGAGAGCAGCATAGGTGCCGGGTGAGCCTCAAGGGGAAGGGCATTCAACAAGCGAGGGGCCACCGCGGAAAGTGCCCTGCCGCTAGTCACCGCCCACCTCCCCTCTGAAGGCGGGGCCACGGAGAGCAGGGCTTCTGGAGCAGGCTGGAGACTGTGGGAAGGCCGTGCTCTGGCCCCCGGCCATTGAGGGGACAGTTTTGGAGGCCTTAACTCTGGAGTGGCCCAGCACAGCTGGAGGTTGTTGTACAGCAGAGGGGAGGCAGGCGGCCGCTTGGGGGGGATGGAGAGAGACGGTGGAGCTGCAGAGGGCCTCCCGGCCTTGGCGCCGGAGCAGTGGCTTCCCACGCTCCCTTCTGTCTTTTCCTGAATCTTATCGTTTGCTTTGGAACGTGTATCTCGGATTCTTGAAGCATTCCCGTTGCCTGATTTATTAGTCCCGTCGATCAAAGGGCTCCCCAAACCCGAGTGTAGGAGTCCCACGCCCCGTTCTTTCCTGCCTCTTTCCCAGAGAGGGCCCTCTACACCCTGGAGTGCGCCTTCCACCCCATGTTCAGCCTCACCAGCGGGACCTGCAGGCTTGACTACCGGAGGCCGGAGAACAGGTAGGAGGCGGCAGGTGAGGCTGGCCGGGTAACAGCTGGGGCTCCTGCATGGTGGGGGGGACGACTGGTGAGCCTCCCCTCCCCCACATTCTGTATTCCTGGCTGCTCAGTTTCATCATTCAGGCGGCAGCGCTGGGCATCAGTTGGATGCTCTGGCTCTCCCTGTCCCCTGTCGTTCCCTCAACTGGCATCTGGACTTGGGGTTCCCCTGGTTTTGATGAGCAACGGGCTTCTCTCCTGAGAGAGTCTGTGTTCCCCACCGGCCTTTCCTTCTGGTGTCTCTTGCAGAGCCTTCTGCCTGGCCCTCTTCAAGCACATGGTTTTCCTGGAGAAGAGAGGGTGTCCTCGCACCGCTCTGGAGTTCTGCAAACTCATCCTCAGGTGAGCTCTCTTTCTCTCTCAGGCTCGCTTCAGGCTAGAAGGGCGTGAGAGCGAGGGGGGGGGCGGCTTGGCCAGCTCATTCCCCCGCCCCCTCAGGCCCACCTGTCCCTTGGCAAAAGCCTGTGCCGTCTGCAGGCATCTCTAGACACGCCATGCCCAGGACTAGATGGTGAAGAGTCATACCATTGCCCTGGCATATACCTTGCTGCCCCCCGTCCAAGGAGCACGGGGTGGGCACAGGTGACAAAGAAGCCTCTGGCCACCCAGGCTTCACGATAGTCTCGTTTTTCTCTCCCTCTGCCAGCCTTGACCCGGAAAATGACCCCTTGTGCATGCTGCTGGTGGTTGATTTGCTGTCCCTTCGGGCGAAGGAGTATGCCTTTCTCACCCGGATGTTTCAGGAGTGGGAGGTGAGTCGCCTGCGGGTGGCCGGGGGGGGCGCAAACAACTGAAGAGGGCAGGTGCTGAACTTGCAGGAAGGTCGAGGCGGGTCTTGCTCCCTAAGAGAAAATACAGAGCACCTCTTGCAGCCGGTGCTGCATGCCTTTGGCAAATCGGGCTGGAGGGGTTCATTACCTGAGCTGGTTTGTTCCTCTGCTGTTGTGAAGGGACTGAGAAGGGACTCTAGGAATGGTGGGCTGGCACCTTGGGGTGTCTTTGTCTTCCCCCTGCATTCTCAGTTCGTTGTGGGTCTTGGGGAGAGGGTCTCTCTCTCTCTCTCTCTCTCTCTCTCTCTCTACTTTCCTTCATTCTGCTCTTTTCCTCCCATGCTTT